AATTAAACTTCATAATAATGTAAGATAGGCAGTAATATCTGAAGCCAAAATAGAAAGAAATAAGATGGCATATTGGAGGGAGTTGTGCGTGTTCTCTCTAACATATTATTGTCTGAGCTAATTTATAAAATGTAGGAACTTGAAAGAGGCATTGAAAAATGTGGTATGATAATCAGGAGCTTGAAATGTTCAATATATGATTTTGATGTTTAGATTTAGTGGGTGAAATGTTCAATAAATGATTTAATGTGATGATGACCTTGCATTTAAGTGTTGGTTTCTTTTCTTTCAATTTGCAATTTCTTCTTCAACCGTTGCTACACTTCAAATTCATTTCATTTTCAATTTGTGTATATCAACCTCAATTTTATGAAAATTTATCATTTCTATACTAATAATAATAAAATTTTATGAAAAATGTTCATGCTGATAAATATTTAAGTTTAACCCGAATAACAAACTTAAATTTTATTTTAAAAAAAACTCTTGTAAACTAATACTTCAATAAAAAAACATTAGTTGAAAATTTTATTAAAAATTACAATAAATAATATATTAATAATTATTTTAACATGTAGCAAAAATATATATATATTTTAACAAACTTTTTTTTTAAGTCACTCATGCTTACAATAAAAGCGTAAGAGATTTTAGTTTTTATTTTAATGTATATTGTGGGATTAAAGATTGGATACCCATTAGACTAAAGATGAAACTTAAGCTTGATAATTAACTCACTTTTTATTTTGTCAATTAATTAAAATTTATGTTTATTTAAATTAGGAATTTAAATTATTTTTCACCTTAATTGATATTTTAAAGTTTAAAAACTATTAAATACTTTATTTCAATATCATATATACATAATGAATGTAATAATCAATATTTATATTATGAATAAAAATTTATTATTTAAAAAAGTATTCAAAAAAATTATTATTATTCACAATTTGTTACGTGTATATTTATTATTAAAATCAACTAATAATAATTTTTGAATTAAACTCTATGATAATTTTACTTTTTATTTTTTTAATTTCTTTCTAGATTTTAGAGATAAAAATTATTAGTAATTTTTCCTAATATAAAATTTTATATTTTTTTTATGAATATCTATTTTTCTTTTATAAAAAATATTATCATATATAAAATTTTAAATTTTCTATAAATACCTATTATTATATTTATAATTTTTTTATTATTATAAACTTTAAATTTCTCATAAATACTTATATTTATATTTATAATATTTTTATTATTTAGTGTAGAGTCTCAAGTAAAAAACAAATACTTTTACACAGAATAAGTAGATAATTATGTGCTTCACTTATAACATATGAACCAGTACGATGAAATACTTTAATTTACATGATTATTCATGAAATGGATGCCAAACTATGCATAATTCATGAATGTGTTTAAACTTTGCACTTTTTAAAATTTCTAAAAGATTCAAAATACTTTGATTTTCATCTCTACATTATTATTGTAACAAAATTCACAAGATAATCCATCGAAATTGAAGATTTATCAAAAGTCATGTTAAACTCTAACCAATTTGTGTCAAACTAAATATTTTATACATATTTTTTTCTAACCAAACATGAATCTAAAACATTACATGAAAAAATAAAGTTTCTTATCACTTGATACAACAGACATTCGTACATTAAAAGTGTTTTAAATATTCTTTCAAATATATATTTAAGGTGAATATATTTAGAAAATTTAAATTGGTTCTTAATTTTTGTGTTAATTTATTTTATTTTAAAAATTATAATTAAAATATTTTAGACAAAGCTTTTCATTGGAATACAAAACAATTCAACTAATAATTTATGAAGTGATGTAGAAATGTTTATATTTAAAATGTAGCAATTATATATATAAAAAAGTCGTTTTATATCATCGTAGAAAAAAAATAACATAACCTCTTATGACTATTTTTTTTATTATTATCTCTTATGACTAATTTTAAATATAAAAAAGTAACCTTTTTTTAAATATAACTATTTATTGCATAAAAATTATAAAAATACAATAAAAATATATTATTTTAAATATTTTAATACAATTAAAAGTTAATATTAATAAATTCAATTCATTTACTAATCACAAATTAAAAGTGCTTTTAATTTTTTTGAAGTCAGTTGTTGAAAATTTTGTTAAAGTATCATTCAACTTAACCCTTATCGATTTTTACTAATTTTATCCTTTATAAATAATTACAAATATATAGAAACAAATTTTAAATCTCTCTTCATTTAATATTAATATTATATTATATTAATTTTATAAATAACTCTAGTTCAATCAGCTATGTGTAAAGTTATAAATTATAGGATTTTAGTTATTGGTTTTCAGCTATTTTGTTAATTATAAGATAAATTTAACTAAATTTTTCGAATAGAATCTTACTATAAGATATATCTTTTAACTCCTTTTTTGTTTTTCTTACAATTTTATTTATAACGAATTCATATTGTTGTTTAAAAAAAAAGGCTATTTATCAAAAAGTTGATCAATAGTATAATAGTTATTTTTCAAAATAATATTTTATTTTATAATTGATAATACCTTCGATGAACTTTTCATAATTTGTATTATAAAAAAAATAATTGTTACAAGATTTATTCACAAGTGTGTTACTCAAATAATCTGATTTTAATATCAATTATATAATAGGTAAACTTATTATTAAATATGAGTTAAATGAAAGACACAAATTAAATATAAGAGTTTTTATACTTATATTAAAGTGAGATCATTTCTATTTAAAAATGTTATAAAAAAAATCAACCTTAAAAATTAATCAATTAACCAAATAAAAATCTAACATTTCATTGAACGTGGATAATTTAATCAACAACTTCAATTCGTCTTGCATTAAGGAGGATATCCTAATCCTACAGTTTTTTTCTTAGTAATAGAAAAAATGGAAGCGTTATCAACTGGACACTAAAACAAAATGGGGTTTATACACTGCCGTCAAATTTCTTAATTAATTTAATAAAAAAATTGTTTTTTTCTTTTTAATAATTAGGGGAGTTGTTAAACTAATTCATTAAAATATTTTTAAGAATTGTCATGTGTATATTCACAAAATAGAAATACATAAATGCAATCAATGTGCATTAAATTTAAGAATAAAATAAAAATGAACCAAATCTTTATAAATTAATAATTTTAAGATGGCAATACATAAATGCTACCAATATTAGAGAAAAAAAATAAATATAAACAAAATTTCTATATGAGTGTCTGAGTAATTAAACTTCCCTAAAATGAAACTACGTTAAAATCTCATAGAAAGGGTTTTATTATCCTTTATAGTTCTATTTAACTATATTAGAATTCGTTAAATATTCATTATGACATTTCAATACCATTAGTATTAGACAATAAAAAATTTATATTGAGGTGTTTCTTTAATTTTATTTTTGTGAGTAATAAAGTATTCATCACCCAATAAAGTTTTTCATATGCTCAGCAGTCTTTCAATGTTTTTGAATTAAATTAAATGTTAATTTATTTAGATAAATAAGTTCACTTAAGCTTTTTTTCCTTTTCTGAAATTCTGATATGTTTGTAATTAATTCCTCCTTTGTTTTAAAAATATAATTCATTACGTTTAATTTTTAAAAATTAATGAAATAATAATACTTTTTAAATTTTATTATTGTCTCTTAATACTATTATTTAATGATTCAAGAGAAAATAATAAAGTGATGACAATTTTTAAAAATTGTAAATGCGGACCTTTAGATCGCATGTTAAAGAAATAAAAACATAAATTATTAACTAGTTATTACAATTATTCAACATCTTATAAACATTTAATATTATCTTATTTAAGGAATTACAATAATTTAATGAAAAGTAATAAATGCTATTTAGATTTGTTCACAGGCTGGAAAGGTAAAATTTTATTTTAGATATTTGAATAAAAATAATAATTTAATTAGATGTAGTTATATTCTCCTATTAATCTATTATCAATTCCCTTTAATCATTTTATATAATTGGTTTTAAAATTATAAAAAATTTAAAGTTTTATCTTGTAATCACATAGTAAAATTCATCTTAATAATTCATACATTGAACATCAACATTTAAAATTGGCAGTGATAATCAAATGAGACTTTAATCTTATTGAATAACAAAAAGAAAATATATTTAAAGGATTGTACATATGTTTAGTTCTTTAGAAACATTAAAGTTTTTTTTTTTTAGTAAAAGTTATCCTTATTTGACAAAAAATAAAAAAGATTATCATGACCATTGCAATTGACTCAAAATTTTGTATTTTTAAGGCCAAAATTTAACTCATTATATTTTTGTTATAAATATTTATCATTTTTTTGGAATTTTTTTGCCATTATTTGGATTAGTATAACTCTATCAATTTTAAAACAAAAAGGAATTAATGTTTCCTTTATTTGTCTTCAAATCGATCTCTCCAAATATAGTTTAAATAACAAATTTAAAATCAAATACATTAAATATTTCCTAATCTAAAATTACTCAGAAAGAGAATGAAATTAATTCCTAGAGAATTCAAAGAAACATTTATTCTTTTGATTATTTTCACAATCAAGTTCTTTTAAACCAAAGCATTAAAAATGCTTTACATGGAACAAAATTAAAACTCAAAAAACTCAATTGATTAGAAAAAAAATTCCAAGGGCGGTGCATACATTTTGTTGGCAACCCATATAGATGTGTGAACAAATGGACAAAAGAAGATGGACCCAAGTCTTCCATATTTAATTAATTTTAAAAATAAAAACGTAAATTTCCGTGATGATTTTGTTGCCATATGAGTGAATTAAGCTAATTTGGTCAAATTATTGAGCGTCCCAAGAACAGTTTAGGAAAAAAATTGAGATGAGAGTGCCCCGTGGATGTGCACAACACCATCATTTGTAACTTCATTTTCTTTCGTATCCCCAAAAAGTTATTCAAAAGGTATATTACGATATATTCACAGTCATTCACAGACTTTAAAAGGGTTAAAACAGAAACAGATAGAGAGTGTGTGTAATCAGTGTGAAGAGTCAACCAACCCTTTTTGGATTCATGTATGTATGTAAGGCGTTCATGATTCCACATGTTAGTTCTCTTTCTCTTTCTCTTTCTTCTCTATGCATAAATCTATGACTATGAGTATGAATGTAAAGCGTTTCATTTTCTAACCTTTTTCTTTAAATATTCATTTTTTTTAATTCTCTTTCAAGCCTTTAACATAGTCAAGTTTAGCGGTTACCATGCAGGGAACGAGACAACACACACTCAACTGAAGATTAGGGTTGCCATGCCATCCTGTCATTTTTAGGTAATAAAGAGAAAACCAGTAATAAACGCTCTTATATTTTTTTTATTATAATAATAATATAATAATAGTAGTTGTTAATATTAATCAATCTTCTCTCTCCAAATAACAGTAAAAAAAAAAAGACAGCATTTTTCATTTATTTTTTTAGCTTTATCCTTTTGTTATCTTTCTCATTATTTATTTATTCATTTATTCCTTGGTTTAAAAAGGTTCTTTTTTGATTGCGCTCACAGGTATATAAGGCTGATTCTGAGAGACCCTTTTCATGTTTTGTGGTGCTCTATGGGCTTGCAAATTTCGGGGTGGGTGAATCAAAACACAGATTAAAATTTTCACTGATGAGGCTGAGCTATTAATAGTCACAGCTTGCTTCCAAAAGGTGTTTTAAGTAGAAGTTTATTTGTAGCACTTGATTGGCAAAAGAAAAAAGAAGGAAAAGTGGCTACTTTAATGAGTTTTGGGGGGTTTCTTGAGAAGAAACAAGGTGGTGGAGGTGCAAGGATCGTAGCAGATATTGCATATAACAACGGTTCCAACCACAACAACAGCATCAGCAACGATAGAATGCCCTCTAGTGCAATCTCACAGCCTCGTTTAGCCACTCCAACTTTGGCCAAATCCATGTTCAACTCTCCTGGCCTCTCTCTAGCGCTTGTGAGATTCATATATATATATATATATATATGATACCTTCCTTCTTCTTATGCTTTTCCGAAATAATAATTGATAAGGGCTTGTTTGGTTCTGTTTGCTTATGCTTTGCTTCTTTTGTTTGAAAACGCAGCAAAGTGATATAGATGGACAAGAGGATGTAAACAGATTAATGGCTGAGAGTTTTGAGGGAAATGGTTTGAGAAGGAACAGAGAAGAAGAACATGAAAGCAGATCTGGTAGTGATAACATGGATGGAGGTTCTGGTGATGATTTTGATGCTGCCGACAACCCACCAAGAAAAAAGCGCTATCACCGACACACTCCTCAACAAATACAAGAACTTGAAGCGTATGGTTGTTTTTTTAATTACAAAAAAGTTCAGTTTTTTCAAGCTTCATCTTTTCCTCAACACTGTTTTTTTTTTTTTTTTTCATTTCTGGGATTTTATGGCTTCTTATTTTTGGGTTTGTTTTGAATTGTTTTTTTTTTTTGTTTTTGAATTTTCTGGGTTTTAGGCTATTCAAGGAGTGTCCTCACCCAGATGAGAAGCAAAGGCTTGAACTCAGCAAAAGGCTTAATTTGGAAACGAGGCAGGTGAAGTTTTGGTTCCAAAATCGAAGAACACAAATGAAGGTAACAAACACCCTTATGCCAACCCTTTTCAAGTCATTTTCACTTGGAAATTCTCTCTTTTGAGGCATTGATATGGACCATGAATCGTTTGTTTGTTGTTTGTGGCAGACACAATTGGAACGGCATGAGAACTCGCTGCTTAGGCAAGAGAATGATAAGCTTAGAGCAGAGAACATGTCCATGAGGGAAGCTATGAGGAATCCTATTTGCTCAAACTGTGGGGGTCCAGCCATGATTGGTGAGATTTCACTTGAAGAACAGCACTTAAGGATTGAGAATGCTCGATTGAAAGATGAACTAGACCGTGTTTGTGCACTTGCTGGCAAGTTTTTGGGTCGTCCAGTTTCATCTTTGGCAAGCTCAATTGGCCCTCCATTGCCAAACTCAAGTTTGGAACTTGGCGTCGGTAGTAATGGTTTTGGTGGTTTGAACACTGTGCCTTCAACATTGCCTTTGGGGCCTGATTTTGGGGTTGGAATATCAAGCTCCTTAGGCATGGTGTCACCTCCATCTAGACCAACAACTGTGGTGAGTACTGGTTTTGACAGATCAGTGGAGAGGTCTATATTTCTAGAGCTTGCTTTGGCTGCAATGGATGAGTTGGTGAAGATGGCTCAGACTGGTGAGCCTCTTTGGATCAGAAGTTTGGAAGGGGGAAGAGAAATTCTGAACCATGAGGAGTACACAAGGACAATGACTCCTTGCATTGGGTTGAAACCCAGTGGTTTTGTCTCTGAGGCTTCTAGAGAAACTGGCATGGTCATCATAAACAGCTTGGCCCTTGTTGAAACATTAATGGACTCGGTAAGCCATTCAACTACCTTCATTTTTTTTTAAATTTTTTCACTCCCTCTTATTTAATACCTTTTATTATTCTTGGCTGCATTGGTTTTGTTATTTTCTCATTTTAAGTTGACATTTTTTTGTTTGTGTGTAAAAACTGATTCACTTTTTAATGCCACAGAATCGCTGGTTAGAGATGTTCCCTTGTGTAATTGCTAGAACCTCCACCACTGAAGTGATATCTAGTGGAATAAATGGAACAAGAAATGGTGCCCTTCAACTAGTAAGTTTAAATTGTTATCTTCCACTACATGTATTATATATGTCGTCATTTTTTTTTTCATAATTATTATTGGTAGGTTTTTTTTTTAATAACAAAAATTTTGTTCCCAGATGCATGCGGAACTTCAAGTCCTTTCTCCCTTGGTTCCTGTTCGTGAGGTCAATTTTCTACGCTTTTGCAAGCAGCACGCAGAAGGGGTATGGGCTGTTGTAGATGTGTCCATAGAAACCATCAGAGAAACTTCTGGTGCACCCACTTTTGTGAACTGTAGGAGGCTTCCTTCTGGTTGCGTGGTGCAAGATATGCCGAATGGTTACTCTAAGGTAAATTAATTACCAATATTCTTTCTAGTTATTAGCATCGGAATGGTTGGTTTTATGTTCTTACTGCATTTTTAGCATCCCAACTTTTTTTTTTTTTTGGAGACAGTAAAAATGATTCACATTCTGCCAAACGTTGTGTTCTGAATAGTTTTCTAAATATATGTAGGCCACCTACTGAACCGTACTATCTCACCTGCCTTGATGTTTTCATCACATTTATTGTATTTTTCCCGAGTGGGTTCAAGTAACTGCAACATGGTAGCGCAATTGTGCTACATATTTAAAAGTGGGGGCAAAACACCAAGCTAAGAAATCATGGAGCTTTTGCTTTTCAAAGCTACTTAGTGACTACTCACTGTAGAACCTCTCTGTCAGTGATGATTCCCATATATATTTTTAGTCTTTCAAAGAATTTGCACCCTTGGTTAGGATGCTTCCCCTTGTCTCAATTATATTCCAATCTTCAGCTTTCAACAACTGATTTTGAACCCTTAAACTATTTGAGTATTACACCATGTTGCATAAATCAAGGTTAACCCAATAATTTATTCATGGAAGTCTCTATCACTTAAATTTTTGTAGCATGAAACACATTAATTACATATCTTCTTTAAGCAATTTGTATTCGAATTTTTCACCTACTTTTTAATTCTATAAACAATTCATATGATGTTTCTATTCCAATCTTTTATGCTACATTGGTTATTCCCCAAGCATTATTTAAGGCATGAAACTATACGTGACCTGGTTCCAGCCCCTACGGTCCATAGGTCTGTTATATTAAATTATTTAGTGCAGACCCTTTTGAGTCAAGATCAAAGACTGAACATTTTGTCTGTTTCTTTTGAGTGCTTGGGATGAGTTCACCACACTGCAGTAGCAAATCTCGATGCCCTTTGACACTGCACGTAGCTGCTCTTCCAAATCCCGGGTGACTTTATCTAGTACCTATATTTTATGTACTTGCTTCAGCTCCATGAGATAGATACCCTTGGCTTCTTGTCCTTCAGCCCAATCGTCACCCTTTTCCAAGTTTTCCCTTTTGCATAAATACTTCTCTCTATTCATCGGCATCTTCGCACCTAATGATTTCTTAAACAAATAATTTCAATAAAAATTAATTAATTGTCATTTTCTCATTTTCACTAGTTATCCATATTACTCATTCCATTAGTCCTTTCTCTTCAAAATTGTTGGCACTTTATAAAATCTAACACTTTAATTCACATTTATTTTAATACTATGGATCTTGCTAACCGGTTTTATAGGGGTACGGGTTAAAGAATTAAAAATGATAATATTTTATTAAAATTTACGTTTAGACTACGTCAAAAATCACAGAAAATGTGTATTTATAATGTTTCTCGATGAGAAATTTTTATTTTTTATTCACTAACTATTATTATAAGCTACTAGTTAGTATTTGCCTAATACTACTAATTATAATATTTATATTTAATTCACGTTTTGAATTTTTTAACGTAAATCCAAACAACACTCTTAAAAGTTGGACATGAATACGATATGCATGAACACGCAGGTAACATGGGTGGAGCATGCAGAATACGAGGAAAGCCAAGTCCACCAGCTCTACAGGCCCTTGTTGAGTTCAGGAATGGGGTTTGGTGCACAGCGTTGGGTGGCTACCCTTCAACGCCAATGCGAGTGTCTAGCCATCCTAATGTCCTCAGCAGTTCCCTCTAGAGAGCACTCAGGTATATAAGATATGCTTAACCATCAGATAATGAAGTAAATGTTATAAACATGAATTGAATCAATTAGAAGGTGTTGTTGTGGCAGCAATAAGTGGGGGTGGGAGACGAAGCATGTTGAAGCTGGCGCAGAGAATGACGAACAATTTCTGTGCGGGGGTGTGCGCGTCGACGGTGCATAAATGGAACAAGTTGAATGCGGGGAACGTGGGAGAGGACGTGAGGGTGATGACGAGGAAGAGCGTTGATGATCCCGGTGAGCCTCCGGGGATTGTGCTGAGTGCAGCCACCTCCGTTTGGCTCCCCGTTTCTCCTCAGAGGCTCTTCGATTTCCTCCGTGACGACAGACTCCGAAGCGAGTGGGACATCCTCTCCAACGGTGGACCCATGCAAGAGATGGCTCACATTGCCAAGGGACAAGACCATGCTAACTCGGTCTCCCTCCTTCGAGCCAGTGTATGTATACTCCTTTTCCATTTCATTCTTTTCCTTACTATTTAACACACACCCCTTTATCAAAATCTATTTTTTCCACATTAACTTCATAAGCTAGCAATTTTGTGTCATTTGCATTTGCATCTGATATGCACACACAATAGGGAGATATTACATGTCATTAGTTAATTAAAAGGGAATTTTATTACATGAATCTGTAATAATGATAGATATATGTATATAATGCATAAGTTTTGTCTTTATGTATTTTTGGGAGGGGGAGCTGAATGGTGTAAGTTAGTTTTACCATTCTTGAGTATGACGAAAATGACCACGAGATGAGGAAACGTCAAACTTGCTTTGTCGCCTAGTGTTAGGATAAAAAAGGTGAAATTGAGAAGGACAGGCTTGGAAATTTTGGAAGTATCTATGAAGACAATTGGTAGCAGAAATAGGGCAGCGTTTGTTTCAGTAAACTTTTACAAAAAGTCAAAATACGGGACTTTTGTCAACTTTCTATTTTTCTCAGTTCTGACCTCATTATTTTCTGCTCCAAATTATAAAAAAAAAATTGAAATTATGACAGAAAAAAAAAAAGTGGTACCGGGTTTGACTAGCGCCCCGCACCGAACTTAACGAAAACGACAACACGTAAAATTGGATTTCTTTTTTTTTAATTTTTAATTTTATTATTTTGTTGCAGGCTATGAATGCGAACCAGAGCAGCATGTTGATCCTGCAGGAGACTTGCACGGACGCGTCGGGGTCACTTGTGGTGTACGCGCCGGTTGACATCCCCGCCATGCACGTCGTAATGAATGGCGGCGACTCTGCTTACGTGGCGCTTCTCCCGTCTGGGTTCGCCATCGTGCCCGACGGACCCGGCAGCAGCGAAGATCAAGGCGGCGCGTCGCAGCAGAGAGTGAGTGGGTCCCTCTTGACTGTGGCGTTTCAGATACTTGTGAACAGCCTCCCCACGGCGAAGCTCACGGTGGAGTCGGTGGAGACAGTGAACAACCTCATCTCATGCACGGTGCAGAAGATAAAAGCAGCACTTCACTGCGAGAGCTAATGTCACGTGACCTTCACGTGACACCCTTTTGGGGTTGTTTATTATTTTGATTTGAAAATTAACATTTGTAGTTAAAAGGTGCGATAGGTGGCGCGTGTGAAGGACGCGAGGGGTGAGGGGTGTTGAGTCAAGAACGAACCGCGCGTGGATGAAACTCCTTGCATGATGGTGAGGATCCGAGACGTGGTCAGGTTTGGATCTTTAACACAAGGCAAGAGTGGTGGTTCGGGTATTGACTCGGGTCGACCCCGTGTCTGCTCTACTAGTTAGCAGAAACAACAAGGAATAGAAATATGAAAACAAAGAGGATAAAATTCGTGTTTCTGATTAGGTATATTTATTATAATGTTATCATTTTTATTTGTATTGACTTGGAGTTTTAGAATTGGATATAGTTTGTTGAATATGATCAAATCAATAATTTCGCTTTTTTTTTTCATAATTAAGCTCCTACCACATTTTTCTTTTCATGTCTCCTTAATTTCTTTAATAAACATTTTAAAGTTATTAAAAATAATTAATTATTTTATAATAATAGTAATCTCAAGGAGTTAGTGAGTAGGCTAAAGTCTGACTTCGCTTCTAACAAATTGCCAGTTCTAGTTTATTTTCCCCACTTAATTGAATTGGATTATTTTTAAAATTAGATTTAATTTTTTATTTATTTTAATTAATACTTTACTTTTATTATTTTTATTTAAAAATATCAAGATTTTTGTAAATATAATTTTTTGGAAACAGTATGTTATATTTTCGTAAAAACTTTCATTAACTTAGTGTGAAACCAAGAGTAATGAATTTTATGGATAACATATTTTGTTTTTAAAAGTATTTACAGAATTTTGATGATGTTATTTTGCGGTTCGTTATTTGTTATTTTTATTGAAAAAAATTCAAAACTATATAAAACAAATATTTTATAAAATATAAATAAATAATAAAAAAAATTTCCTTGAAGCAAATAACTATTAAAAGTGACTTCTTAAGTTTGTTTTTCTGCTTCGATGATAATTCATGTGAACTTGAAACCAATAAATATGAACGCATGACTTGTGTTTAGAAAGTGGTCATAGAGCTGCAAATCTGCAAAGCAGGAGTGATTGTTATTCCCCGCGCCACTTGAAGATATTTATAGGGTTGTTTCAGTGCAAAGTTGTACAGATAAATTCTAATAAATATATTATTTAATTAATAGAAGAGAATAAACAATATTTTTTTTAAAAAAAATTATAAAATATGGATTAATTAAATAACATATTTATTAGCATTTATTCTATATAAAATTACACAAATTAAAAAATTCATATTTATAATAAAGTATCTGCTAATAGTATTTTAAAGTTACTGATTATAAATATAAAATAATTTTTATCAAAATAATAATAATATATTTTTATAATTTTTAATATAGTCTAACATCATTTTTAATATTTTTTTAATTTTCATTTATTTAGATGATATTCTTAAAAGAGTTTAACTTTTATATATCTTTCATCTTATCAACTAATCAGAGTATAATATGTATATGCTTTATATATTAATTATTATAAAAATTAATTTTTATACTATAAAATCTAGAATTATATGATAAAATAAAAAATTATACTATCGTCATATTTAAATTAAATTATTCTTAAAATAATAATTAACAATAATTTTATAATAAAAAGGACAATAAATCAGGTTGTGGATAAAGATGAAAAAAAAACATAAGTTATAAAATGTTATATTTTCTTAAAAATAAAAAATAAAATCATAGGAGTACAATGAAAAATATATATTTTTAAAATTATATATTATATTAACTTTGTTATACATAAATAAAATATTATAATTTTATATTAATTTAATATTTTATAAGTATAATCTATCAAATAGAAATTTAACTTAATACATTTTAAATTTTATAAAATTTTAATTTTAGTTCTTTAAAAAAGGTAATACTTACATTGCATTATGGAATATTTGGTGTATGCCCAATTCAATGTAACCCATGGTTTTAATATAAATTATAAAGAACGACTGAAATTGTATAGTGGTAACCTAATAAAATGATAACAATTTTACATTAAATTAAAAAAATTTCCTTGAAAGCCATATTCAATATTATCGGATTCAAGGTTTTTTTCCATGAACAATTTTCAGATATAAAAATATTTGAAACTGGAAAGGGTTTAAATTTTACTTGGGACGTTAGCTCTTTCTTTAGCAATCAATCTCCTTCAGCCACGCTATTCTTCCCCTCCAACTCCTCAGCTTACGCTGAGTAATGGAGAACTTGTCTTCTTGTGTTTCATGTCAACAAGTGCAGCTTAAAGCTACATATTGAACCATAGAGGAAAGGCAATAATTTATATTTTTCATTAAGCTGTCTTCATCTTTATAGTTTTTAATAAATTTTAATCAATAATTAAAAATATATTACTGAATTCCTTTCAACTAAGTGTGATCACTGGAATGAGACAAATGAGGAGGGTGGAGAGAGTTGTGAAGCGCCAAAGACTCTATTATTGATGTGGTTGGAATCCAACAATGAGAACGAAGGAGACAAGTGAATCAATAAGTCAAATGTATATAAGAATGTTAATGCAAAAGTGAAATAAAAATGGCCAAGCAAAAATGGCTTTCTTTGAGTGAAGTGGAGATCATGAACAAAACATCACAGTACCATAGTTTTCCTGCAGTAATACCAAGATTTTATTTTTAAAAATAATATATTTAATCATTACAATTTTGTAATTTTATTATAATGTATATATTTTTTAAATAAAAATTTACAATTTTAAACACTTAAACTCAGTTTTAATTAACTGACTATAAAATTAATCAACCCATTGCAATCGGTTAGATTTCTAAGCAAAAAAATATAAAAAAGAAATAAGACAATGATTGTTATACATCCTACAAGTATAGGACCTGTTTGTCTAACATTAATAAAAAGTGATTTTAAAAGTATATAATTTTTAAAATATTTTTTAGATGTAAAATTTAATTTGTGTTTATTTATAATTATGAAAAGTATTTTTTATGTGAGTTAGTTATTTCAAATCATCTCTTAAAGTAGCTAGTTTATCTGAAAAAATAAATTAATTGCTCTGAGAATTTGATTATTTAAAAACGCTTAGTCAAATATTATACAATAGTTTAAAAGATTATTTTAATAACAAGTTTTAAAATAAGCTAAAAAGTTCAATTTATTAAAATATTTTAAAATAATAAACTAATATATATTAACATATATATGAATGTATAAGATTTTTCAAAATTATAAAAATAATATTTTTATCAAATACATACAGTACAAGTAAATTAAAAAAAAAAAAAAAAAGTGATGTATATGAGGGATAGAAAAAAGACTATGAGTGGTGGTGGAAGAATGGGAGTGGAGGAGGAAGGTGGGTGTCTGTGTGATTGCATTAAATGAGGAAGCAGAAGCTGGTGAGAGAAGCGTTGCCATCATTTAATGCAACGCCTTTCGCATCGTCTCTATGGTTACGTGAGCCTGCCCAATAAAATCCTGCCACCGCCATTATCTCACACATTATGCTAATCAATTCTAAAAGCTACCCCTCTCCTCAATTTTGATATAACATTTACTTAATTTTTTTTATTATAATCATATATATTATAATTTTAATCGTAAAATTTATTCATATAAGTTTAAAATAGTTTACTTTAATATATAAATCATATTACAAATAAAAAAAAATAGCTTATAAAAATTAGAAATTATTCTATATTTTTTTCAAGAGTTACATTTTTTCTTTTTTTATAAAAAATAAAATATTTTTTTTTCTTAATTATAAGAATTATAGGGTTTATATTTGTTCAAACAAGTAAAAAAATTATAAAATAAGTTTGCATTATGCCGTTACTAATTGTTTAATTTGTGAAATAAAAGATTTTGTAGCCTAAAAAAACACGTGATTCAATCAAATTAAATAATATAAAAGTTAGTTTTAATATGGATTTGACTTATCTCAAATGAAATTGTTTATGTAAATGTAAAGTACTACAGTATTTTTATTTTTTTAGAAGGAGCTATTGTCAATCTAAGTTCCAATCATGTGTTATATCTAATTTATATATATATATATATATATATATATATATATATATATAATATCAGTGAATTGAGTCGTAGAAGATTCTCTACAAGATACTTTTATTTTTTTTCTAACTCATTTAATTTACTAATTATACATGACAATTGGTAATGAAAAAAATCTATACTACATCAAAAATTGACTTTTGGAGCATTAACTTAGATAGTGATTACTAAAAACTATCTTGTATAAAATAATAAGAGAGTAATTTTTTGAAAACTGCTCTCTAAAGTGTACTTGAAGAGCGGTTTCTCACTAACCATTCTCTAAAGTGTTATTTCAAAATAAACACTAACTCCATCGTCATCCCTGTACTCAAGCATGCTACTCTTACTTCCAAAATTTCCTATACTCACTATGTTTTTAGAAGCTTTTTGCACCACCATCTTTGCCGGTGACATCGCATTCACACTACGAAGGTATATTCATTATCGTTTTTGTATTTTGTTGAGTATGTTTAGAAATGAAAAACTTGAAAATAATGTCTGTTCACTGAAAGACACCTATCTTATTTACATTTAATAGTTACAAACGTCTTCCCCTTCTTCGTCCCTAGGTTGAGGTAATTTGCGACGAAGTTAGTTGAACTACAATATTGCTTCAAGAAGTTAGTTTATTTATATATTTTTTTTACTATCGCTATCTGAGAAAATTATATGGTTTATCTGATGTGTAGTAGGGTGGGGGAGAAGTAGACAAAAATACATTTTTTATATAATTTAATTTAATTTAACAATGTCTTGCAATTACAATCAGTAAAAAGCTAAACATAAAAAATTAGTAAGAGATTAGCATTAGGTATATACCTCAAGATCAGTGGGAGCAAATTTATCTTTCTTGTGCTCTATGTGGATGATATATTATTGGCTTGTAATGATTTAGGCATGCTACATGAGACAAAACAGATGTTGACCCGATTCTTTGACATGAAGGATTTGGGTGAAGCTTCTTTTGTATTGGGAATTGAGATTTACAAAGATAGATCACAATGTACACTGGGGTTATCTCAAAAGGCTTACATTGATAGAGTCTTAGAGAGATTCAATATGTAAAATTGCAAACCAGAAGATGTTCCAGTTGTTAAAGGTGATAGACTCAACAAGGATCAATGTCCTAAGAATGAGATTGAGCAAGCAAAAATGAATGACAGACCTTTTGCAAGCGCATTGGGAAGTCTCATGTATGCTCAAGTATGCACTAGACCTGACATCGCTTTCATTGTTGGTGTTCTAGGTAGATATCAGTCAAATCTTGGAAGTGATCACTGGATAGCTGCTAAGAAAGTAATGAGATAGTTGAAGAAGACAAAAGAGTATATACTTGTATATAAC